GAATGAGACAGAGAGAGAGACCATGAGATGGGGGAGGATCAGAGGGAGAAGCAGACTCCCTGCTGAGCAGGGAGCCCGATGCGGGACTCAATCCTGGGACTCCAGGATCATGACCTGAGCCGAAGGCAGTCGCTTAACCAACTGAGCCACCCAGGCGCCCAAGAATCTTCTCTTTCTTAATAAAACTATTACATTCCGGGTTTATTAGAAACATAGAATTTGGAGCCCTTAAAGATGGTTAATTCAGAGTTTTCAGATAGTGTTCCAAGAAGCTCTAATGCTCCAACAAAGTATCTCAGGAAGACTCGGAGACTAGATAGGGCTCCTGGTTTCATATCTGTTCCAATTACTATTGCCATGTAACAAACCACCCCAAAACTTAGTAGGCTAAAACAACTACTTTCTTACACTCCCAGATTCTGTGGATCTGGAATTTGGAGGGCATAGCAAAAACAGCTTCTCTCTGCTCCACAGCGTCTCAGACCTCATTTGGGAAGACTCAATGGCTGGGAGCTAGAATCGTCTGGAGTCATCTTCACTCCTACATCTGGCATTTGATTCTGGCTGTCGCCTTGAACCTCAGCTGAGCCTCTCCATACAGCCTGAGCTTCCACACAGCATGTCAGCTTCGGGGTAATCAGAGCTCTTTTGTAATACCTTATGGCTCCCAAGAGACTATTCTAAAAGGCAGAAAGGATGCTGTATCACCTTGTATGACATCACTTTTGTGACATCACTTCCGCCATATTCTATTGGTTGAAACAGTTGTAAATCTTGCCTGGGTTAGGGGCAGGGGAGAGGGGATACAGACCCCACCTTTCAATGGGAGGAGTGTCAATGTCACCTTGGAAGAATAGATGGAACAAGACACCCAGGGGTGGCCTCTGCAAAAATGACAATGTTCCATTATCCACACCAGTCTCTTCAACCAGAGGCAGCACCTCTCCCTGACTAATGTTCACTAGCAACTGTAGCTAGTAAATACAGGACCCACAGAGGCCAAATGACGCTGAGACATTTTACATACTCCTTCAGCAAATCCCATGATTACTGTAGAAAACCAGAAAATTGAGCTGGCTAATATTCCCTTCACCCTTTTCCTTTGTTTCTAATTTCTTCGGGCAAGATGGGAGAGCCTGGCAGAATTTGTTACGAAATAACTGCAAGAGAGTCATCATTTCATTGTATTGAATTGCATCGTAAAAATCATCAACTTTGGGGGCACCTGGCTGGCTCAGTCGGCAAAGCATGCGACTCTTGATCTGGGGGTCCTGAGTTTGAGCACTACTTGGGGGTAGAGTTTCCTAAAATAAATGTACAGCTTAAAAAAAATTTTTTTAAATCTTCAACCTTTTGACATGGTTTCAGTGAGAGGTGTTTTCACAAATTTTATTCGACTGTCGTATGTTTCTCCCAATGACAGCCAGAATTTCCTGCAGTGCTCAGAGATGCGTGTGTACATAGGGCATGCACAGCCCTGGTCTATGACTTATAGGAACCGGAGGAAAAATCTCATCAGTGTCTGTGCTGA